GACTGCACTAGATGGCCTTTGGGATTACCTGTATTTTCTCTCCCTCCATCCATCCATCTATTTTAGGAGATTGGACTGGATGATTCTTGGGGTCTCTTCCAATTCTATCTATTTACCTATCTGTCCATTCATCTCAGAGGATTGCACTAGCTGGCCCTGGGGTCTCTTCCAACACTACAATTCTCCATCCATCCCTCCAACGGGTTGGGAATGGTCACTTCCATCTCTAGGATTCTATCTATCTCGCCTGTAGCTTTGGGGGAGGGCATGTTAAGGGGTTCAAACCCCCTCCAAAATGTTTCAGTTTAAAAAAAAAACTTGGTTTACTCATGAATTTTAACCAATTCGCGAGTAAACCAGGTGTTTTTTTGTAAAGGGTTTGAGCCCTTTATGGCCTGCTATCTATCTATCTATCTATCTATCTATCTATCTATCTATCTATCTATCTGCATGACCGCATTTCTGTTTACAAACCCACACGATCTCTTCGATTATCTGGAGAGGCCCTGCTCTCGCTCCCGCCCCCTTCGCAGGCACGATTGGTGGGGACGAGGGAGAGGGCCTTCTTTATGGTGGCCCCTCGACTCTGGAACTCACTCCCTAAAGATATCAGACAAGCCCCCATTTTGGCAGTCTTTAGGAGGAGCTTGAAAACGTGGCTGTTCCAGTGTGCCTTCCTTGAATAAAGGAAACCATGCCCGATCTGACCAATTTCCTTCTATATGTCCTCTGAAGCACTTAGAATCATAGAATCACAGAGTTGGAAGAGACCTCATGGGCCATCCAGTCCAACCCCCTGCCAAGGAGCAAGAATATTGCATTCAAAGCACCCCTGACAGATGGCCATCCAGCCCCTGTTTAAAAGCTTCCAAAGAAGGAGCCTCCACCACACTCCGAGGCAGAGAGTTCCACTGCTGAACGGCTCTCACAGTCAGGAAGTTCTTCCTCATGTTCAGATGGAATCTCTTATCTTGTAGTTTGAAGCCATTGTTCCGCGTCCTAGTCTCCAGGGAAGCAGAAAACAAGCTTGCTCCCTCCTCCCTGTGGCTTCCTCTCACATATTTATACATGGCTATCATATCTCCTCTCAGCCTTCTTTATCTATCTGTTGGATTGATCTCCCTACATCATTCTCTAAAACCCCCATGCCTAGACATACCCTACTCTGTACACGCCCAGGGTTTTAAAATTTTAATCGATTACGATTAAAATAATGGCCATGCCATAGTGGCCATGCCATAGTGTTTTAAATCTTTTGTGTGTTATTGCTTATATGTTTAACTATATTATTTATATTGTTTTATTTGCTTGCTTGCTTGCTTTGTTGATGTACTGTTGCATTTGTATTTGACGGGCTTGGCCTCATGTAAGCCACCCCGAGTCCCTTTTGGGAGATGGTGGTGGGGTATAAATAAAGTTGTTGTTGTTGTTGTTGTTGTTGTTGTTGTTGTTATCTACCTACCCATCCAGCTACCTGTCTAAAGCAGTGGTTCTCCGGGTATTTTGACCTACAACTCCCAAAATCCCAACCAGTTTACCAGCTGTTAGGATTTCTGGGAGTTGAAGGCCAAAACATCTGGGGAACCACTGGTATAAAGAGACAGAACTGGTCATTTTCTATCAGTTTATCTCTCTCTCTCTATCTCTATCTATCTATCTATCTATCTATCTATCTATCTATCTATCTATCTATCTATCTATCTATCTATCTATCTATCTAGGATTCTTTCTATTTATCTATCAATTTCTTCCAACTAGGAATCTATCTATCTATCTATCTATCTATCTATCTATCTATCTATCTATCTATCTATCTATCTATCTATCTATCTATCTATCTATCTATTTCTTCCAGCTCTAAAGATTATATCTGTCTCTCTCTCTCTCTCTATCTTTCTATCTCTTATTCATCTATCTTAATGGCATTGGACTGGATGACGGGAGGTCTCTTCCAGGTCTAGGATTCTATCTCTTTCTCTCTATTTCTTCCAACTCTTGGATTATCCCCCCGCCCCTCTCTATCTATCTTAAGAGGTTGGACTGGATGGCTGTTGGGATATCTTCCAAGTCTAGGATTCTATCTATTTATTTATCTTAGGGGCATTGAACTGGATGGCTCTGGGGACCTTATCAATCTATCATCTATCAATCTCTTCCAGCTCTAGAATTCTGTCTGTCTGTCTATCCCTCCCTCATTCTCTATGTCTCTTAGGGTCCCTGCCACCTGTGTCCAGGGGGCTTCTCGCTGGAATGTGGGCCCCGTTGCTGCCCTCTGGCCCAGGCACAGCCCCCCGCTACCTGTGCGGGCCAGGTCCTGCTTGCGGTGGTGTTGAGGCTCCTGTCTCCCGCTCCCCTTCCTCCTCTCCCAGGCCTGTCGGAGGGTGTCCCCAGCGGCCAGGAGCCCCCCACAGCTGAGGGTGTTGGTGAGCAGGAGGAGGCGGCCCTGGAAGAGAGGCCTCCAGAAGGCTGAGGGGCCCCACAGGAAGCGCCGGCTGCGGAGCAACATCCCTCCCTCTGGAAGACCACCTGAGGAAGGAAGGAAGAGAAGTGTTAAGGCCAATAAGCACCCACATGCAGCCCTGGGTTGTTTTGGAAGCGGGGCTTGTGTCTTTAACCCCAAGGGCCATCCAAAAAGACTATCTATTGCTCTATCTATCTATCTATCTATCTATCTATCTATCTATCTATCTATCTATTGTTCTATCAGTCTATCTATCTATTGGTATAGATAGTTCTGTCGATCTATCTATATCTATCGGTCTATTGTTCTATATCTATTTATCTATTGTTCTATATATCTATTTTTCTATCTATCATTTGTTCTATCTCTTGGTCTATCTATCTAATATAAAATAATAATAATAATAATAATAATCTTTATTTATACCCCGCCACCATCTCCCCCAACGGGGACTCGGGGCAGCTTACATGAGGAAACAACAAATTACAATAAAATAAAATACAAGTTACAATAAAATAAACATCGCAATAAAGTACAAAACACAATACAATAAACAATATACACAAAAGAAAATAAACACAGTAAACCAAACATAATAAGTGAGTCTATCTGTCTCTCAGTCTATCTATAGTTCTATTTATCCATCTATTGTTCTATCAGTCTATCTATTATTGGTTTATTTATCTATTGGTCTACCTATCTATTATTTTATCGGTCTATCTATTTGTATCAGTCTATCTATTGTGCTATCTATTTTTCTGTCTATCAGTCGATCTATCTATTGATCTATCTATTTTTCTATCTATCAGTCTTTTTTGTTTATTCGTTCGGTCGTTTCTGACTCCTCTTGACCTCATGGACCAGCTCACACCAGAGCTCCCTGTTGGCCATTGCCACCCCCAGTTCCTTTAAGGTCAAGCCACTCACTTCAAGGACAATGGTCTATCTATCGGTCTATCTATCTAATATCTATTCGCCTACCTATCTATCAGTCTGTCTATCTATTGTCCTATCTATCTATGTAATATAATAATATACTTTATTTATATTCCGCTCTATCTTCCTGAGGGAACTCGGGGCTGATTACAGAACACATATACGGCAAACATTCAATGCCGTTATACAATTAACAAGGACAGGCAATACATAAACAAAGGTAAAGGTCTGGTTATCTATTGGTCTAAATATCTAGCTACCCATTTTTCTATCTATCTATCTATCTATCTATCTATCTATCTATCTATCTATCAGTCTGTTTATCTATCTATATGTCAGTTTATCTATCTATCTGTCTCTCAGTCTATCTACTTATCTGTCTGTCTATATATCTACTTTTCTATTAGTCTATTTTCTATCTATCAGTCAGTTTATCAGTGTATCTATCTGTCTATCAGTCTGTCTGTCTATCTCTCAATGTATCTATCTATCTGCCTATCTATCAATCCATTTTTCAATCTCTCAGTGTATCTATCTATCTGTCTCTCAGTCTATCTGTCTCTCAGTCTATCTATCTACGTTTCTATTTATTAGTCTATTTTCTATCTATCAGTCTGTTTATCTATCAGTGTATCTATCTCTTTCTTTCTATCAGTCTGTCTATCTCTCAATGTATCTATCTATCTATCTATCTATCTATCTATCTATCAGCTTGTCTATCAATCTATTTTTCTATCTATCAGTCTGTTTATCTATCTCTCAGTGTATCTATCTATCTGTCTCTCAGTCTATCTATCTACTTATCTGTCTGTCTGTCTATCTATCTACTTTTCTATTAGTCTATTTTCTATCTATCAGTCTGTTTATCAGTGTATCTATCTGTCTATCTATCAGTCTGTCTATCTCTCAATGTATCTATCTATCTGCCTGTCTATCAATCTATTTTTCTATCTATCTCTCAGTGTATCTATCTATCTGTCTCTCAGTCTATCTATCTATGTTTCTATTTATTAGTCTATTTTCTATCTATCAGTTTGTTTATCTATCAGTGTATCTATCTCTTTCTTTCTATCAGTCTGTCTATCTCTCAATGTATCTCTATCTATCTATCTATCTATCTATCAATCAGCTTGTCTATCAATCTATTTTTCTATCTATCAGTCTGTTTATCTATCTCTCAGTGTATCTATCTATCAGTCTGTCTATCTATCTTATCTCTCAGTGTATCTATCTATTTATCTTTCTATCTGTCAGTTTGTCTATTTCTCAGTGTATGTTTGTATCTATCTGTCTATATTTTTTCTATTTATCTATCAATCAATCTGTCTGTCTATCTCTGGATGGCCATCTGTCAGGGGTGATTTGAATGCAATATTCCTGCTTCTTGGCAGGGGGTTGGACTGGATGGCCCATGAGGTCTCTTCCAACTCTTTGATTCTATGATTCTATCTACCTACCTACCTATTTTTCTTTCTTTCTATCTGTCTCAGTGTATCTATCTGTCTGTCTATCTATCTATTTTTCCATCTATCTAAAGTAGGATAACATAACAGTAATAACAGTAATACTAATGAACACCATCCGATCCCTCCCGACAGATGGCCAGCCAGCCTCATAGACATGAATGGTGAAGAATAAGGCTATGCAATCTTAGGGTTGGAAGAGACCCCAAAGGCCCCCAATTCTACCACAACAGAAAGACACCATCTAATCCCTCCCGGCATATGGCCACCCCGCTCGACAGTGGGAGTGCTGCCACCGTCTCTCGCCACTTCCGGACCCCTCTTTCGCCTTTGACCCCTCACCTATGACCGCCCGCTCGCTCGCTCCACGAGACGCTCTCGCTCTTCCGAAGCCAGGAAGAAGAGAGTGAAAGAAAGGGGCGGGGCCAGGGCCATACCGGGGGGAGGAGCCAAAGGGAGGCCGTCACGCGCCCACCCCGGTTGCCGTGGCAACAGCCGAGGCCTCCCTCCGTCCGGCTTCATCCTCTGTGCGCATGCGCGTCGAAGTCAGAGGCTTTGAAGAGAATGGCGGCAAAGCTTCCAAGCGGCGGGTGAGCGGCGCGGAGGAAGGGCAGGCCGGGAAAAGGAGAATGATAATAATGATAGCAATAATAATAATGTATTTCAATGGGCCCTGATACTTTCTTCCTTTTTGTGTTTTCTCCTCAGGAAGGGCGGCATCGCCGAGAAAGAGCCCGGCGCCAGGCCCAAGGAGAGGAGTGAGTGCAGTGCGCATGCGCATGGGGACTGGGTGGTTGGTTTGGAAGTTTCATTGTAGGTTGGTTCGTTTGTAGGTTTGTTTGCAGGCTAGTTGGTTTATAGCAGTGATACTCAACGTTCCTAATGCCGTGACCCCTTAATACAGTTCCTCATGTTGTGGTGACCCCCAACCATAACATTATTTTCACTGCTACTGTTATGAATCATTATGTAAATATCTGATATGCAGGATGTATTCTATTGGAGTGTTATGGGAGGATTGATTTTGTCATTTGGGAGTTGTAGTTGCTGGGATTTATAGTTCACCTACATCAAAGAGCATTCTGAACTCTACCAACGATGGAATTGGACCAAACTTGGCACACAGAACTCCCATGACCAACGAAAAATACTGGAAGGGTTTGGTGGGCATTGACCTTGAGTTTGGGAGTTGTAGTTTGCCTACACCCAGAGAGCACTGTGGATTCAAACAATGATGGATCTGGACCAAACTTGGCACGAATATTCAATATGCCCAAATGTGAACACTGGTGAAGTTCGAGGAAAATAGACCTTGACATTTGGGAGTTGTAGTTGCTGGGATTTATAGTTCACCTACAACCAAAGAGCATTCAGAAGCCCACCAACGGTAGAATTAGGCCAAACTTCCCACACAGAACTCCCATGACCAACAGAAAATACTGTCTGTGATGGTCTTTGGCGACCCCTCTGACACCCCCTCGCGACCCCTCCAGGGGTCCCGACCCCCAGGTTGAGAACCACTGGTTTATAGATTGGTTTGTTTCTAGGTTCGTTGGTTTGTAATTTTGGTTGGTTTATAGGTTTGCTTGTTTGTAGTTTGGATGGTTTGTAGTTGTATAGGTTTCTTTGTAGGTTGGTTCATGAAAGATTCCCCCTGACCCACTTCCTGTGGACTGAGAGGCCCAGTTCTGAGTCCTTCTCTATGTAGGTGCCACTTAGGGACACACACTTCTCCCATCTTTTTAAGCAACTGTAAACACCTCGCAACTGTAAACACTTCCTGCAAGGAAGACTCCAACAATACATGGAGCGAGAGTTGCCAGATGTTCAAGCTGGGTTTAGAAAAGGCAGAGGAATGAGAGACCAGATTGCCAATATCCGCTGGATAATGGAGAAAGGCAGGGAGTTTCAGAAAAACATCTACTTCTGCTTCATTGACTATTCTAAAGCCTTTGACTGTGTGGATCATAACAAATTGTGGCAAGTTCTTGGTGGGATGGGCATCCCAAGCCACCTTGTCTCTCTCCTGAGGAATCTGTACAAGGACCAAGTAGCAACAGTAAGAACTGACCACGGAACAACAGACTGGTTCAAGATTGGGAAAGGCGTACGGCAAGGCTGCAGACTCTCACCCAACCTTTTTAACTTGTATGCAGAACACATCATGCGATGTGCGGGGCTTGATGAATGCAAAGCTGGGGTGAAAATTGCTGGAAGGAACATTAACAACCTCAGATATGCAGATGACACCACTCTGATGGCCGAAAGCGAGGAGGAGCTGAGGAGCCTTCTAATCAAGGTGAAAGAAGAAAGCGCAAAAGCCGGGTTGCAGCTAAACATCAAAAAACCCAAGATTATGGCAACAAGAATGATTGACAACTGGGAAATAGAGGGAGAAAATGTGGAGGCCGTGACAGACTTTGTATTTCTAGGCGTAAAGATTACTCCCTTGTACTTACCAGGCGAGCTTGTGACACTGGCAGTGGCGAGAGCAGGGCCTCCCCAGATGATCGGCGGGCCTGAGGTGGTTCATGGAGGGAGATACATTCACGAAGGTAGGCAGGTCCCAAACCGTTTAGGGCTTTGTAGGTGATAACCTGCACCTTGAATTGGGACCGGAAAATAAACAGCAACCCACCCCAGTATTCTTGCTATGAAAACTAAGTGGATCAGTACAACTAGAGATATGTCAATATGCCATTGGAAGATGATCAAAATGCTACTGGGGAGGAGCAGAGGAGAAATTCAACTAGTCCCAAATATGATGACACAGCTTGCTCAAAGCCGAAAGGCTGGCTAGCGGCTGACAGTACTGTAGGTGAATGATGAATCCAATATTCTAAAGATCAACACTATAGGAACCTGGAATGTAAGATCTATGAGCCAGGGCAAACTGGATGTTGTTATTGGTGAAATGTCAAGATTAAAGATAGATATTCTGGGGGTCAGCGAATTGAAATGGACTGGAATGGGCCACTTCACAACAGATGACCACCAGATCTACTACCATGGACAAGAGGAACACTGAAGAAATGGAGTAGCCTTCATAATTAATAATAAAGTCACCAAAGTGGTGCTTGGATACAGTAGAAAAAAATGACAGAATGATCTCAATTTGACTTCAAGGTAAGCCATTTAACATCATAGTGATCCAAATATACACCCCAACCACAGCTGCTGAAGAAGCAGAGGTAGATTGGTTTTATGGGGATCTGCAGCACCTACTGCATAATACACAAAAAAGAGACGTTATTTTTATTACAGGAGACTGGAATGCCAAGGTAGGTAGGTGGGATTCTTTGTATACTGGGTTTATAGGTTTATATGTTAATTGGTTTGTAGGTTTGTTAGTTTATAGTTTTGTTGGTTTATAGGTTTGTTTGTTGGAAGGTTTGTGGATTTATTGGTTTCTTTGTAGGTTGGTTGGTTAGTAGGTTGGTTTGTTGGATAGTTGGTGTATAGGTTTTTTTGTTTGTAGATTCGTTAGTTTGTAGTTTGGTTTGTTCATAGGTCGGTTGGTTTATAGGTTTGCTTGTAGTTTGGTTGGTTTGTAGGTTTCTTTGTAGATTAGTTGGTTTATAAGTTTGAAGGTTACTGGGGTTATAGGTTTGTAGGTTAGTTGATTTGTAGATTTGTTTGTAGGTTGGTTGGTTTATAGGTTTCTTTGTAAGTTGTTTAGTTTGTAGGTTTGTTTGTTTATAGGGTTGCTTGTAGGTTTCTTTGTGAGTGGGTTGATTTATAGCATTGTTTGTAGGTTGGTTGACTTATGGGTTTCTTTGTAGGTTGGTTGGTTTACAAGTTTCTTTGTTTGGTTGGTTTATGGGTTTGGTTGGTTTATGGGTTTGGTTGTTTGTAGGTTAGTAGGTTTATGGGTTTCTTTGTAGTTTGGTTGGAAGAGAGAAGTAAAATGACACGGAAGGGGGAGGAGCGAAAGAAGGAAGGAAGGGGAAGCAAAAGGAAAGAAGGCAAAGGAAAGAAGTAAAAGAGAAAGGAAGAGAAGGGATGAAAGTGTATGAGGGAAAGCAAGAGAAGAAGGAAAGAAAGAAAAAGAGAAAGGGAGAAGATGTTGATGGAAAACATAGGAAGGAAGGAAAGAAAGAGCCATAAAGAGAATGCAAACTCAGGCAGCACCAGCCATCCTACTAATCAACCACTCTGATCTTCCCACATCTTTGATGGTTGGGATTTGTAGTTTGGGGAGGTCTCAGCTCTCATTTCTATAGGGCTTTCATGGCTCTGATTCTTTTTCTTTCAGGGGGAAGAGTGGTCCCTTCAAGGTACATGGATTATGGGAAGAAAGTGGATGGAAAGGTGAGGCTTTGGAACGATTTCTTTATTCTGGTTTGCCTGTCCTCTTTAAGAATCCTTGGAATTAATATACAAGAAGCTATGTTTTTCCTTTTTAAAAGGGAAACTGTCCCAACAGGCTTTAAGGCTAGAGGAGCTATTATTCAATCAAAGATTCAAGATCTTGAAACTTACAAATATTAATGGATGAAGATACATTTAATTTAAGAGACTGGCAGGAATTGAATGACTTTTATGCGGTGCTTAGGAAAATGTACACGTTTTAAATAAATTGTTAGGGATTAGGGGGGAGGCAATCGGATTGTTTTTGTATTTTTGCTCTGTGTTTTTATTTTATTTTTTAATGTTTAATTGGTTGGATTCAAGTTATTTTTTTGGAAAACCTTATAAAACTAATTGTAAAGGAAAAAAACACGGCCATTTTATGAGTGTTTAATAATAATAATAATAATAATAATAATAATAAAAAATAAGACTGCTGCATAATAAAGAATAATGTTAGTAATGCTATTAATAATAAACAAATGCTGAATGGTAAATAATATTACTAGTAATAAAAAGACTGCTGGGTGGTATATTAATATTATTAATAAATAGATCTGCTGAGTGGCAAATAATATTAATAATGCTGCTAATAATAAATAGTTCTGCTGAGTGGTAAAGAATACTACTACTACTGCTACTATTAATAATAATAATACTTCTGAGTGGTAAAGAATAATACTAGTACTACTAATAAAATAAGACTGCTGAGTGATTAATTATTTATTTATTTACTTTGCTTATATACCGCTGTATCTCAAGCCTGAAGGCGACTCACAGCAGTTCACAA